GATTTTTTAGCTACTGGCCGAGCATTGTTTTACCATATACTACCAGTTGCAAAAAAAATATTTTTCTAAATATTGTGTATGTTTTATATCTTAGAGTGGCAAATGGCCAGGCAACAAATGAAGACGGTGACTTTTTGGGGCCATGGTCTTATTGGTCTTCCTGTTCTTCGGCTCAATTGCCCATCAGCTTGCAACATCACTGGGGTGAGCCAGGGAAGCTTTGGTTCCCTCTGACTTTTGCCACAGCAAGGTGTTAATGACAGACAGTAACAGGTGGACAGCACTAAAGTGCGAGCCTGCTCTTCAGTCTTGGAAGATATAAGTAATATATTACCTGCCAAGGTATTAAAGGTTTTTTTAATTTGAAAACTAAAGGGTCAACACAGGTGAGTGTAACAAAAGTGAGTGCGGGCCACTGGAAAACGTTTATTCCAACCCTCTTTTATAAAAGTGTATGGCAAACACAAATAGTGTTAAATACCTTAATTAAAAAAAAATGCTTTACAAATTCATGTTTATCCATAGACTATGAGTACTTACTAAGAAATTTAATCTTACACAAATTAATATTGATTTAGAAGCAGTGGTTACATAAGCTATCCACAGTGGGGAAACAATCTATCGTGTGCAAGATTTCTAAATCTTTTATTGTAATCAACATCACTAAGTATTAAGTAATCGCAAAACTTCAAAGTAAAAATAGGCCCTCTTTTTAACCGTGCGCCTGTCCGCATTGCAGGGCGCGATCGTTATAATACTTCTGGGTGCAATACCAAAATATGTTCAATTATCATATAACTGCAGTAACAGAGGAGCTCCTCAGAATGGCAGCAATTATAAGAATTGTGGTAAATAACATGGTAGGGCTAATGAATAGAAAGCTTGTTGCCAATTTCCCTTGTTGATCATTTAGTATTTTATATTTGTGTTATTTTCTTTACTCCTGCAAAATATTTGGCTTAGTATTTTTCCTAATTTACAATTACAAATACATTTTTTGAAAACGGTGCTCTATTGAGCTCAAGGAAGTGATATCTGCTCTTGAATAAAATGGAAGGTACTATTTATTTTGTTTTTATTAAATTTCATTGAAATGTGACTTCTTGTGTATGAATACAGGCAAGATACATAGCTTCAAACTATTTGAAAGACCTATTTTTTTAAGACCTCTGCTGAATCAGCTGATCATTAACTTTCTCACAATCTTTGCTCTTCCAAAATTATTAATTTATAGCAATATGCTAAGCAAACCCGATGTTACATTAGAATTTGACCAAAGGTTGATCAAGATGGATCATTTCAAAATTCAAACTAATAGAACTACTTTTCCTCTCATTCCTGTAACTTGGCAATTTCAAAAATCGAGATAGTTGTCAACAAAATGAGAACATACCATTTTTTAAGTGCCCTTCGCTCTTTCCGGGGAGAAAATGTAAACAAATAAATTGCAGCCGTTTTTTGAGAAGCAATTGTTTAAATTAAATGCCTTTCCAGTACACAGAAATGGCGTTTA